GATGGCAAAGTCCGAAGCGCCACAAACAACACTAAAAGGACGATCGGGGTCTGATAACACCAGTATTGGTGCATTAAGGAGGCTGTCTTTGACTCTGTCAAAAGCCTCCCGATGCTTGGTGTCCCAACACCATTTTGTATTTTTCATAGGAGATTAGACAATGGCTGTGCCATTTCGGCATAATTTGCGCTATATTTGTGCCAGTAGCTGGCGAGGCCAAGCAACTTACGCAAGTCCATCTACTTCTTTAAAAACCGGCCAGTCCACAATGGCATTGACCTTAGCGGATCCGCTCGTAGGCCACGCTTCCCAGAACACCCTCAAAAAGGAATTTCTTCCGCGTCGAAGATGCACTTATCGGCATTAGCATAAGGCTTATTTGTGCGCATGCACTCGAGCACCGCTCTCAAATGGACGATGTGGTTCTCCTCATCTATCCTCCCGTGCCCCGCACGTCTGTGGACGAAACGTCGTCGAAGTATATCTGTGCATACGCCCGATGGGTTTGAACAATTGCGTCACAAGACAATCAAATGTTGCTGGTGCATTTGCCGGCTTTTGGGGTATCATCAGCCATTCCCAGAGCATCCCGCTCGGAGTACTCACCGCTGTCTGCGGAATATCTTAACAATTGGTAAAAAATATCGACCAGGTCGAGTGCGCTAAGCTTTGTACTGCTCAACCATACAACGAGCACACTCCACCAACGTTCGATTAATGCGCTCAGAAACTCTATTCAGCTGAGGCCTATCCCGTGGCGCAAATAAAAATTGGTCATTTCACTTGACTTACACTCCCACCATTATCACAACGAATCGTTACCAGTCTGTGCCCAAACAAAGGCATGTAAAGCAGCAAATTTGCTGGAAACTAACGACTTGTTGATGTATCTGCTTCGTCATGCAAATGCACCATGATGGAATTTACTCATCAGTAAACAAGACATAGTTCCGCAAATTACTGAATGTCGAAGTCTGCATTGGATCACACACGTTATTGTGAATGACTTCAGCACGCTAAGAAGACTTGGAAGAAAAACTCGCACGAGTCTACTTGCCAAACGCACATCCTTGGCAAACCTATAGCCTAATTTAGCAGCACATTCATCCCCACCAACCAAAAAGAGATAATCTACCGAGCAGTCCTCACTCTGAGCAACATTCGCACGCAGCAATCTCTGACGATCTGTGTTTTGATAGATGCGTACTGAGCATTTTGTAATCCAAAGTCCAAGATCCCCACAATAGTGATATGTACTTGAGGTCTTTGCATACGAAGAGCGTCCCTTACGCCGTCCGCCATCTGTCTTCGCGAACGCTTGGCCTTGACCATGTGAGGCACCATCCATGCCAATTCCACGTTCTCTACCTTTTGTAACTTCGTGTAGAATTCGCGATGTCGCAAGCTTCCAGCCAACCGCATCTCTAGCTGCTCCACCAGAGTATTCATCTTGTTGATTTGCGTTAGCACATAATCACCTTCATCCATATTAGCCGTGAAAAACGATAAAAAAGAGCGAGCTTGTCTGCAAGGCTGTTCTTCACATAGTGACCCCCAAGGCGCGACGATGCATCATGCGCCCACTTGCCAACTGCACTATAGGCAGTTGCGAGTCTTTCAGCGCCCAAAAGGTAATTGCAAGCGCTTTCCTTGACTTGCGCTTGTACGTCGACTGGTCCAGCGAATTCGCCAGACTCTCCCATATGATCTCTCCACTTAATATATCTCATATGTCTCGCTCCTCCAGCACCATTTGTATCTTAAACTTTCAAGAATGAACTTTTATTTCGTCGAACTTGTCGATGCGAGGGGTAGTGGCGGTGGCAGCGTCCATGGCGAAGGCTGCGTCGCGTCCCATCACAGACTGATTGACGTCTAGTAGTCGAGACGCATCCTTGGCAACAGGATCGTCGATTATTGCGACCGCGACTGATTCGTTAAGTGCGCTTTTGCGAGACTCTTGCCCGTGTTTCTGATTTTTTAAGGATCTATTTTTGGACGGAGACGATGCCGAGAAAAACCATGGCGAAGACCATGTGATTACTCTGTACAGGACGAAAAAAGTGCCTGCTACACTTTATACGATATATCGGGTCTTACTGATTTCTTACAACCACAGAAAACATAGCCTGCTTCCTGTAAACACTGCAAAGCCTTCGTCACTTATTAAAAAAATCAACACATATGAGAGCTCATTTCAGTAAACGAAATCCGCTTTTGGAGCCCATCATGTTGATAGAGGTTGATGAGCGCCCCGAATGGTTTGTCACTGCACTTGATGAAGAGAAAGGAATATGGATCAATTGCAAATCACTCGACGAAAAAAAGCCAGTCTTCCTTACACAGTTACATGCTGTTGTCTAGATGTTGTTCACCCTGATCGGATATAAATTGCAGCAGAACTATTAAAGATGGCTGGCTTGAAAGTTCGCAAACAGTTACAGGCATCAAACACAATCCATTGTTTGACAATAGAATGGTGGTCAGGCGAAAGGAATAATTTTTTGAAACACATGTTAATAGGCGGCAAATGTTGTTTCTGGAAGTTACCTGATGGCAAGAGCAGGGAAACACGGCTTAACTCATTGCTGACGATCTTAACCGTATCGTCAAAATCCAAACAGCTCTCAGTCTCCTATTAGTGGAGCAAAACTGATAATACTGCCCCTATGGAAATTGTTGTGGTCAAACTATCCTAGTATGCTTGTTTGATGGTGTGTGAGGCACGGCTTGCATTTACTTGTGAAGGACATTTTTGCAGCCACCAAAATCAAGCGAGGAAGAGCTGTCGCAGGGTTACCCATACGAGTAATTGCTCATATTCTCTTCTAACTGTAAAGAACTCGAATATTTATTTTCATAACACTATCCCACCAAGGCGAAGCTTGTAAGAGAACAAAAAATCAGAAAGTGCTGGGATTGCTTTTACCTGCCACCACAAATATGGCAACCTGCTGAACTGTTTTTCAGCTTGTAAGAAAGTGAATTTACTCTCCACAGCTCGAAATTACATTTTTGGTACAGCAAAGATGAAAGCAAGTGTTTAAAAGATGTCCGACATCAATACCCATGCAAACCTCTTGTATCAGCTCGAGAAAAGTATTGGTATCTTAGAGCCGATCAACAAAGCAAATATCTTATTCTAGAACGATGGTTTTAAGCACTTCTAATGTCCAAACGGCTGTGAAAAGTCGAATCCTTGGTATCCTCTAGAAATAGGTAAAGATGGGAAAAAGGTGTATATACAGCAATTGGTCCAAGCACGAGTTGATTTCTTGTGCGGTAATGGGATGGGAATACCTTCTATTCTGGTTCCACGCTACCTGGGATATGCAACGACCATGGAAGAGAAGACAGCCGTCAAAGAATCTTTGTCTAATTTAGTTGCAGATCAAGCACGTGAAGCATTATTTACTGAGAGCTTGCAATTTCAGATCAACGCATATATAGACCGTGAGGGAAACAACTTTCGGCTCAAAGACTGTTCTCCAATACTGGCTGATTGATGGACCCGAAACCCTTCACTTCAAATATTCCCACAAGATTTGCAGTTCGGTTTACGTCAAGTGTCGCGTCTGAGAGAAACTTCTCAGCTGCTGGATTTATCCATTCGAACCTGCGTAGTTCATTGTAGGACGAAAGTATCAAACCTATATTTTTTATTAAGACTAACGCTACACAGGTCTGCGGACCGCCGCATGCTGTTCTGATGAAGAAGAACATCAGGATGGGTTGATTGATGGCGTCGAAGCAATTGGCAATGAGGGATGTCATCGAAAATTGTTAATAAAAACCTGATTTTGCGGATCTGACCTTTATTAAAAAAAAGCTTCTCAGGTTTTATGGGTTCAAGAAACAAAACCCCATAAAAACTGCAATGATTTAAAAAATAAATTTAGGTTTTTGCCACCCTGGCTAGACTTTTTGACTATCTAATATTCGAGTGCTTTTCACGTTATACTTAAATTTTATGCTCTAAAAGTAACGTCTGCTCGATGATGCTGTGATAGTATTTGCAAATAATGTTTACCACTATGGCTAACCATTGCTGTTTCAGTAAGAATGCCGATGATTTAGTTCCACTAAATCATCGGCATTCCACTTTCCTGAAGACAATGAGATTTGCGTTCTCAACTCTAAACAACTAGTGCTCGGTTGGGTCTACGAGAGCCAGATTTTAGTCCAAAGACAAAATGTCATGCTTAGACAATAATCAAGTTTTGATCAGCAAAAGCACGACATCAATCAAACATGAGCAAAAAACGGTAAACACCGGCTTTCTCGCCTACACTATACGGCTAAAGTGATAGTTCATCGTGCTTCTGCTCTTTGGAGCTTACAGACTCAATTACAGGTTTGTAGGCTAAACTTAAAGCAATGATAAAATAGTCATTGCAATTTTGGCAGTGTTTCCAGAATGTCTGTAGAACAAGTGCGTGGACTGTTGAATTCATCAAGCGACCTTCTCGAACCCGCAAAGGAGATGAACAATTCTTCAGTCCGCCTACTCTTGGTTACTTGTAGCGGCAACTAACTTAAGTAGGTAGTGACGAGTGATGTAAACTTGTGGTTGAGGGACGCTCAAAGATTTATGGCCACAAATTGATGGGATGCGATCTTAGGTGTGCATTCTGGGTGTCTGGTTACTGATCATTTCGTCCATTTCCTGACGCATGGTCTTGGAAAATTGACAGCTTATAAACAAGACAAAGGGTTTGCCAATGATTTAAATTTCAGATGTGTGACACTAAGATGATTTCGAATTTAATTATGGTAGCGCACTTAATCCACACATCAAGGTTGCTTTGTCTCACCATTCTTTTTCGCTAACGGCTGTAAAAGGCAGTGCATATAACAGTTCTGGTCGTTGGACTGTATGAATTCATAAAGAAAAAAATAGCTTGGTAGTTGTAATATATGTCACAGGTAAGACTGCCACAAATTTATACACTGTTGCAGGCGAGAGAGAAACGTACACGTTTTGTTTGGTATTCCGCGCGTGTCGATGTTCATAAACTAAAGCTCGCTACTGTCTATCCGTTCTCCTGAGCCGCAGTCGACATATCTTCATCTCTTTTGGTTAGTAATTTATTCTTCAGCCTTCTGCAAAGGTTCTACGAGATAGAGTGCCCCAAACTTTGCATGAGCTCTATGGCCAGCTCTCGTTTGTGTAACTGGCGCTTTATCACTCAAGCGTGAGCTGTGGTTCAAAGGTGGCAATAAGGAGGGGCGCTGTCTCAAGAACCAATGCCATGTTCAAGATTCTCACATTTTCTGCCTGTATCAGTAGTGTCCACGACTTTGAGTTCGCCATTCCATTTGTTCAGTCCAATCACTGCGCCCGCTTTAACTCGACATATTTGTGGGGAATCGACCAATTCGTTAGTTGTAATCTGTTGCGATATCCCGACCACAGTCGCAGCTTGTAATTGACCTTAGTCAACGACGGTAACTCTATTACGATCATGCCCCGTCAAAAAGACACAAAACGTATTGACCCTACGCGGGCGCGTCGTCCGGGCGAACCTGTTACAGATGCTGAGCCGCATAATGTGTTTAAAGTCAGTGGGAGTCCTATCATCAGTCCACGATCGATCCGTCACTGTTTGAAAGAGTCCGATTTTGACGTTGATGGTGAGCCACGACAGCACTCGAATGGTGGTGTAGCGCTGCCACCCATTAGCAAAGAGAACGCGGTTTTAGCGGCTGCCGCTGCAGCATTGCAGGCCAAAGAGGCACAGAAGGCGCTTGAGGCGGAACAGGCTGCTAATGCTAGCCTTCAGGGACTATCAGGCGTGCAGCTTGTCGTGCATCAAATGCTGGCGACACACACGCAAACGTTGGCCCATCTTGGTGTCGAGCGCGCAAACTTTCCGAACACGCGATTGTCGCTCAAACAAATCGAGACAATGCTAAGTCCCGTTGTGGCACTGTGCAGTGCACTGCGAGCGGATCACTTTGGTATTCATGTACCGACTCCTGAGATTGCACGCACGATGAGTGATGTGCATTATTGGAAACTCTGGGAATCTGACCTGATCGATATCGGGATCTTCTTTATGCCGCCAAATAGTACCATTCCGCTGCACAACCATCCAGGGATGAGTGTAGTGACAAGAATGTAAGTTTGTGCAATTGGGAGATTTTAAGATGTGATGGTCTTATGGATCTCTTGATTGTACTGCGAACAGTCTGTACGGAGCTGCTACAGTTATGTCGTATGATATCTTGTCAGAAAGTGAAGTTCAAAGGCTTGAAGCAGGAAGCGAAATTGTATACCAGGATGCTACTTTTAGTGCTGAGTAAGTGTGCTTTTTGAAAGCACGATATACGATTGCTAATTGTTGCCCCTGCAGTGCTGTCAATCCCGAAAAAGGATCAGTATCATGGGCTCGTGTTAGTCGTCAAGGTAAGTATGGGGCGGAAACGACGACGTGGTTAGATCCCCGTCGATTTAATTTGCACAATATCCAAGCGAGTTCGGATATTGGATGTGCCATGCTGGATATAATGGTGCCTCCTTATGACAAGTACGCTGCATTATTATATTCGAAACAATAGGTACATTGCTAACAATGTACTTCCTTCTTTTGAAGTGCGAATCGCGATTGTCATCACTTTCGGATTCTGGAGGAAAGAGTTTTGCAAAACGAGCGGCTTTTTAAGATGTTAGAGTCTGTCAAGCCTGACAATCACATGAATCCTTCCGCTGCGAATGACACAGCAGAATTGTCGCCGACTTCCTCTTGAGCTCCGAGCGGAGAAGTGGTTTCTCACCTTGTGTTATCAGCGTCATGTATGCAGCCTGATAGAGCGTTGACTAAAAACAATCACATCTACCCGACTGTACATGTACTGATCAAGATACTGCGGAGAAATATTTTTAAGTAATGGACGGCACGATAGAAGGCGAGCTACAGCCGAGCAATGTTAAGCAGCGTGCGTCAGTTGAACAAAAGTCCGAGGCTTGGTATGAAAATGATTGGATTTTGGTCTGGGAAAGTATTTTCTTCCTCTCACGCAGTGCTTGTCACAGCGGTAAATAATAATTGAAGACGAGAAGAATGGAGCTGTTGAACCAGTACGAATATGTGAATACCAAATGCCCTGTGATTATCTCAATGGATCTCGCTGATTAAAATCTTGTATTGTATATAATAAACGACATTTTTGATTGTATAACTATAACCGATTCACTTTAGAGATCTACGTTTGTAGAATGATAAATACACGCGTGACAACATGATTGTAAATTGACTCCTTTCAATTTTCAATCATTTTAGGGCACATGACGCGTCTGTGACCAGTGTAGACTTTGGCGTGTACTTAAATGAGCAAAACGTTGTGCGAAGAGGAGCATCGTCAATACCCAACGCGTTGATCACCTGCAGCTGGAGCGTGCTATCCATAAATCCTATAAGCTTTCGAACGCAATTAAATGCAGATGCATTCTCCCTCGCCTGACTAGCCACTCCAAAGTCGTGAAGGTACCATTCAAATACACGCGGCAATACGATCGTGTTCTTGACCTCTTTCATTTCCAGATGGCCTCGAGCGCTACTGCGCGTTAGCAAGGAGCGCAAAACAGCGTTCAGCTGATCGTGCACACTTTCTGGCTCATAAATCATAATAGCGTTGCTGTCCATATGATTCGAAACAAGCGCCAGACTTAAGCGAAAATCTGGATGATTAATTCCAAGATCCTGTAGTCGACTAGCTGGCCCGTTTGCAGCTGATAGCACACTGGCTACGCTCAGATATGGCAGCTCAGCACAAGGTAAGCGTGCTCGTAGAATCACATGTTCAATTTCTGCGAGTGACAGACTCACCTGATCTCCATCAGGTCCACGGCTCAGCACATAACAAATTTGAGTAAAAAATTGCTTCCACTGACTTTTTTTTCGCGGAAAGCCTGTAGCAATCATAGCGTGGGCAAGTATTGTATGATACAAATTCAAGTAAAACGCGATTTGTTCTTCGTGCGAGCACGAGTCCTGTATATCCAGCAAGTCCACTGCTCGAATTGCACTCGCGGCATCTAAAAACGCCAGCGTATCGTTCACAGAAAGCTGTTGCGCATTGTTAAGAATGTGCAATGCACGCATGAGCGTACTTTTTACAAGATTTAATGCATTCGCTGGACTTGCTTTCATGTTTGCTCGATGATTGGCATTTTCGGCCCGCGATTCGTATTGTTTCAGCTGTGGGAAAAGCTGGCGCGAATTGAGCTCAATGCGATTAGCAGGTTGAAGCGCAGTGGTTGCGGTTAATCGCATGTGAAATCTGCCTTGTTGGGCATGTTCAAAATTGGTCCTGAAGTTGCTAAACTGTGAGATGCTTCGAACCCACGCATCCCGGGCAGACCTCGTGGCAATACACAGCACGATTTTTTCAGCAAACGTAGTGATTTGCAGTGCAAAGACTCCACTTATGCCGCTAGTGAAGTCATGATGCGCGGCACGTAATGGTACCGGCACAGCTATCACCCCAATGATATGCGAACACGGCACTTGCTTCTCTGCGCTAGAGGCATACGATCGGTAAAACAATAGCTCATCCTTTGTAAGCAAAAAAACTTCTTGGCGCAAAAATTCCGTGGCATAAAAACGGTACACCACTCCTTCACAAATCACCTTCATGTCTTCACGGTCACGGCGGCTAAGATTTACTCCTATGCGAGACGGAGTAAGTTTTATGCTATGTGAAGACGAATCCTGTAGACACTGACGCTTCATCAAGCAATTGTATAATGCAGCTTGTGTAGCAACCAGGTGTTTTTCGTTCCTATATTCTCTAATGTCGACATTATCATCGCATATTTCGGCGTAGCTTGAACAATCGCTGGAGCAAGATACGTGTGCCATCTGTGGAAGTGATTCATGAACCAGCCTCATAAGATGCGAGACTAACTGATGTGCCTCTGTTGTTATTGTGCTGTAGCTGCCAATCCGAGAGCGGCTGTGAAGTCGCAGCTTAGCCAATTCTTCACGAAACTTATCTCGCTTTCGATTGTGACAACTTAGCAGCAAGTTACGCAGCTCATAGCTACTAACGATAGCAAATTTTTGGCGCTGTGCCAAATTGTCGTCTTCATCGTAATCCCCGACATTATCTTTAACCACAAACACGTAATGCACACGACGTAAATCTGACGCTAAGTCGACCTCCTCCATCCAGCACAAATACGAAATTGAAAGCTGTTTCAGCCGTCGTGCGTGTTCCAAACGCACAAAGTCTGCGTCGTCTTGCAATACCGTAGGATCTTCTTCCGTGAAGGAGCTGGTATCACTCAGGGTCGTGCTCATAGTGCTCATATCTGAGCCCAAATGACTACCTCCAGCGCCTGTCAGATTTCTGTCTTGTCCAACACCATCTCGATTCCATTCAGTATCAACCTGATCACGATAATGATGCCTGTGCTTATCATACTTAACTTGAAAAGAGAATAGATATTCCTTATCGCGCTGTCGATGCCTGTCTGACGTCTTTAAGTCCGATGGTCTTACTTCATACGCCACCAATCTCAATGGTAAAGAGTCAAAGAAACTAGCAAGATTCATGGCATTCAGTCCTCCAGGCAAATTTGCCGTCTCCCATCTGGTCAAATCCACATACATGGTATGAAAATCAAATGTATACGTCGGTCCGACAGTGTACTTTTCAGCGCCAAGAGATGTGAGTCTTCGTTGACGACGTGACTCTTCGCTCTCTCCGAAATCGCTTGTACCCAGTATAGGCGGCACATGACCTTCTGGTGTTTCGACAAACTGGTCTACAGATTGAAAGAGGGGAAATGCCACGGCAGGCAGCTCGTCAAAATTCTCACCATCCGATGAATCACCAAAGCTAAAACTGACTTGGCCCACTAGTCTTCTAATCAGTCCCATAATCACATGCGCAACGCTACGTGTAAAGACTCCCGGTGCGATCTTGGCAGGTAGCTCTCCACCTAAATAAACAGGGCCTTTTGGCGCCTGTTTAAAACATCCCTGTACTTGGATCCAAAACATGCGACGCTTACCATTAAAAAGCGAAGCATAGAACGGATCTTCAGGCTTTGTGCGCACCAGAAAAAGCGCATGGCCTACAAAGAGCTCCGTTTCGAACGCGATGGGTGTGCGTGAATTCATTGCCATCTCCTCAACCGGTACACCTAAGCTACCGACGTCGCTCACTATGAGACTGGAGACATGCTGACATCGTTGTACAATCATGTCACGCTTCTCTTCCTGCGCAACTTCAGACGCGAGCACTTCATTGTCTCTTTCAGCAGATTCGTCCTCTATAGCGAACGGCGTCTGATCGTCCTCCATACTCTTTCTTTGATGAGCTTTAGCCCCGCGTTGTAGTAGGATGAACAGCAACAGAGCGCCTACCAATCCATAGATCCCCAAGACGTAGTGCACGGCTACACTAAGTGACGCCAGCGCCGCCAGGTCTGATAGCCAGACTGCGTCGTCTTCCATGAATCTGCTAATGAGTTTAACACTCGAAAATTGGTGGAGGGTTTCTTGCGGTAAGGTGAGCGAACCCTCAAGCCAAATAAAACCAGGTGGGCAAAATAGGTGTTTATGAGCCAGTGAACTAGACACTCAACAAACAACCTCGGCGTCTGTTGGTTAAAGGTCCGAGGCGGTTTTTTACTATGGAACGTTGCGGATAGTAACGCTAGAGGAAACCCATGATATGAAATGTAGCCCCTCTTAAATATTAAATTCATTATTTAATATTTCTTTGTCTCATGCATATGCGGTTGCATTAACACGGTGACGTCCATGATTATATATATGCCAGAATTGTAACGAGTTGGTACGTTGAAGTGGTGAAATAAATTATCAGTGGTCTCATGGTGAGATCTCGTCACGACGTGTACATTTTAGATGCATGATTAGAATTTGTGTAGAATACACGTCCTTGTTGCCGCCTAGTTCCGATCGCTTCTTGGTCTCCACAATAGCAAAGACTCCCCCTCCACACGAACTACCAGAGATAGAAACTCATGAAGCCGCGTGATGCTGCTTCTGTCAGTGGGTATCATCGAACCTCCAGCGTTGCAGTAGCCCATATACCGCGCAAACATGGCAACGATAGCAAGCGAAAAAGCAAAGGCGCTACGTTGCGATTACAGCATCCTGAGGTTCCAAAGGCACTCGGGCCCGTCGGCCCAGCCAGAAAGCAAAAGAACTCGAAAATGCAGCAAAATAACTGGCTGCAAGACGTGATTGAGTTTTCGCATCAAGACAGCGCTAATCTTAATTCGGGTATAGCCCCGAGAAAAGTTTCCTCGAAGTCCTGTTCCGTTCCCAACAAGTCTTCCAGCTGGGGATCGAGGCCCATGAACCAAGAGAAAGCAAAATCAACGCCGATAAGTGTAAAGGCTGAACACGCAGTGGCGGAAGCACTTCATGAGGAGATTTTGGCGTATAGCTCTTACACAAAAAAGATGGTGGACAAGATGGCTGTGCACGTTGAACAAATGATCACAAATGTACGTGCTAGCGTCCAATCGATCTGGTCACATGCCAAAGTTGAAACATTTGGGTCGTACTCAACAGGTATTTGGCTACCCAGTAGTGACGTGGACCTTGTGATTTTAAATGTGGTTGAGAATAATGACTCGCTGCTGATCTCAAAACACTTACGAGAACTGGCAAAAGAGCTCGAGACAAAGGCTTGGGTTGACTCGGTATTGTGCTTAGATACAGCTAAAATACCAGTGCTGAAGCTTATGACTGCTGAACCGTCCGTGCCCATCGACATCACATTCGAGTCGGCAGCGACCCACAGCGGATTGCTCGCGCGCGATCTTATCAAGCGCTACGCTGACACCATGCCTGAACTCTATCCCTTGGCGATTGTGATGAAGCAGTTGTTACGGGAACGCGATCTGAACGATGCGTATACAGGTGGTCTTAGCTCGTATTCGGTTGTGCTCATGATTATTCACTTTTCGCAGCTGTGGCGAAATGGGGACCTGTGCTTTCAAGCAGCCTCAATTTACGCGTCAGGATCGCTGCCACCTGAGCCGTCCAAGATGCAAGCGTTTAAAGAGAAGCGTTTACGGATAGATTTATCTTCTAAAAACGGTAATGGTAAGCCTGTCGACACTTTGTTAACCGAAAGCAAAACAGAACGGCCCGAAATATCCACAGTTGATCAACAGAAGAAGTCAGTCTCGTTGCCAGCTCCGTCTTATGCAGCGATTGTAGCAAGACAACAGGCTGCAGTGAACGTGAGGTGCAGCAGATTGTCTGAACCAAAATTAAGCTATGCTGCGGTTGCAGCAGGTATTGCTGGAGTGTCTAACTCCAGTAAACAAGCTAAAACTCCATCTAGCTATGCTGCAGCGGTATCTACACCAGCGAAACCAAAATCTTCTACAGCCAATTGCAAAAGCGAAAAGATGCCGAAGCAGCATACATCGCTAGATTCGATCAGCGTATCAAGCAGCAACGCGGACACAGAGGATTCGAGCTCATCTTGCAGTCGCTCTTCCTCAGTCGATAGTGACGACGAGGTGCAGATACAGCAAAAGCCACATCTATCACTTGGCCAGCACTTGATGATGATTTTTGAGTTTTTTGGCATCATTTTTGATTATCAAAAGAACGGACTTTCCGTGCGCAATGGAGGATACATTTACAGACTTGCGGACTGTCATCGCTTTAACGTTGGCAAACCAGCATTGGTAATTGAAGATCCTATCCATCCAGATCGTAATGTCAGTGCTAGCAGCTTTGCCTTCCCCAAAGTGGTGGCGCTGTTTGAAGACTCGTATTACGCTCTCAGGTACTTTCGTACGTCAAAATTCACACCATCGGCTTTGAGCTGTTTGCTCAGTACGTCTGGTCATTTAAATCATACCATCAGTCACAACAAAGTACGTTCTGCTCCATCATAGCAGTGTCGGAACATCCGCCGAAATTTTGAAACATGCATAGAAAAGTCGTACGTAAAATTAGGGAAAAAATGTAATTATTTTGTTTGTGTTGCTAATATCTTAAGGAAGTCCATTCACTCCCAAAATTTGATGGGATCCGTACTGTACATTGACCGTAAACTTTTGCATTGCAATTATATGTAATCAGGAATGATATTAAATATCAAAATATCGCGCGGGGTACGTACAAAAATCGTGAAACATAGCATATAGTGCAAAAAATATCTTGAGCTATTCGTAATAGAATGAAATTTAAAGATCTATGCCAGTCAAGTAGCCAAGGCAAATCATCACAGTTAAGATCTCCATTCCACCCTTGAATACAGCGATTAAAGCAACCTCTGCAAGTTTGTTAGTGTGATTTTTATCAGTCGAAGCTTCCTCTGTGCATATCGCACGGCAGCCCGTTGCACTTGGTAGAAATTGCAGTCAAATTCATGATCGAGCTAAGAATAGACTACGTCGTTTATGAGGATCGACAACGAAATGTTCAAGTAACTGTGCTGAAAGCACTGGATGTTCTTGGAAAGCTTACTTCGAAATCATGATCCTGAAAGGACGGAGGTCTAGCGGCCCAACAGCAAATGCAGTAAGGCGCCCATCATATGTGAGTTATGCATTCCCAAAAGCTGCTCACCTACCGTAAGACACCACCGTAAGACTGCAAATGTTGAGTGGTTAATATCTATGGGCCAGGACTGAAATAAGTTCATCCTCTAGATCAGGGACGTTGAGATGACTATAGAATCGGCCGGGTTTCAAGCAGAGAAAAAGTGCGTCGCGCTTGAGGATGAGCACTTATGTGCAGTGCCTCGATTTAAGAGGTGTTCCTGACAAGGGACGATTTGCGATGATCGATTCTGCAGTCGTTCGGTCTGCCTGACCAGGCATCCCAGGTGTGCTAGAAGCTTGTGCCCATTTGTCAAGGAGTAGGCGACAACTGACAAACTGTACCACGTGTTATGAGCTAATAACGGCAAAATAGCTACTGAACCTCTTTAATAAGCGGTAAGATTCCCATCCACACTGTATGTCTGTGAACGGGCGCGATTTTCAGCAAGACCTCTGGCATTCACCTTCCTTCTGATTAGTAAGTGACGAGTTTTGCTTTTAAAGCGGAGTACGACATCGGTACCACAAGGGTCGGATGTTGTGCTGAGAGTGACAGCTCTACAAGCGCACCGAATACGATGACATCAGCAACACAGAGGATGTAAAGAGATATATGTTAGCTGCTGAACCACCTCCTCAGTGCTCGCTGATATTAAATCTGCGGTAGCACAAAGCATCTGCACCTTATGTGCTCCAATTGCTGATGGCTGATGGATACGAAAGTTTGGGCTCCTACACGGGAGCATACGACGAACTCTTCGTAAAGTTGTCCCTGTCTAATTGCGTTTTGGCCAGCAGCTCTCAACAGATGAGAAGTACTTGCTATCGCTGTTAGATCGAAAATGACCGACTTCTTGTTGTGGTGGTTTCTTATGCTATTTAGTTCTTTCTGTCATTGCTCCCATGAAGTTATCGTCAACTGTATATAGGAGGGCCAGAAGCTATTTTTTATAGAATGGCTCAGCTTCGTAGCTATGTAGCGAATGACACGTGCGTGGCT